TACTTTTAAAAGAACCACCTTGCATTTGGGAAGACAAGGTCCAGGAAAAAAGATACTCCAATACACCAAGCTTTACCCATTCACATCACAGACAAATAGCAAGGAGCGAATGAGCCATATGGCACTTGAACTGCGGCACTCTCCAAGTACTGGAATACTTCTCTTCTGAAATAAAATGTTTTTACTCCTTCAACTACTGTTCCTCTTTTTGTTGAGAAAAAGCAGGTGGAAACCGAGGAGAAAAAAGCCACTGTATTCAGTTATGATATAACCTGACCGTAGACATTTAACAAAATCTTTCCCCAGCGCATTTTCAAGGCAGCTTACCTTCTGATACGGGAAACGTTTCAGCTATTAATCCCAAAACAGTCAGTGCAGTAAATCTGGTTGGATGGGACGAACCAGGAAACAGGGCTCCAAAAAGGATATCACAGACAGAGGACATGAAATCCTGAGGATGGGAAATAGAAGCCACAGACAGATCAAATAGAAGACTGTCTTCGAAAGGGGTTGGGGGTATTTTTGACCCACCCAATCCTAGAGTTATAATTCAAACGTATGCTTGACAAATTCTCATTGACTAAACAAATTTCATCAATCCTTTTTCCCAACCTATGAGATAGCCCCAGTTTCTAGTTACCCCTTTCCGGCAGGGTTTTGCCAGGCCCCAAAGGGATATCCTCCTGGACAAAAAAACAACAACAAAAAACCAACCTCCATGAGCCAATATATTTTTACAAGTTCTCAATCTTTTTTCCACACTTCCATCCTTCCCACATTCCACATCTCTTCATCTCCCAGTGCTCCGTACTTGTTTCTTATGATCACCTCAAAATTCAAGGAGATTCTACCCTCTGAGTGGGAGTTGGCTGCAATGCCTACTGGCACTTCAGGGCCAGTGAGAATCTGAAAATTCCCGGCAGTAGCAGATTGTCGTGCTGCCTGGATATTAGGGCATGAGAGCAGGATATTTCAGGGCAGGCCACAGATAGTGGTAGAATTGTATCAAGCAAGGCCCTAGGCTCAATGATTGGAATCAACTTGGAGATCTACTGCCAGTCACTGTGGTCTGAGCCAGTAAAAGGCAGTTTCATATGTCTTCTTTCCCATCATGCCTCAGACTGTCCTTTGCCACAGACGGATCACACTCTCCGCTTTTGTGGCTACTGCAATGTTTGGAAATTGCCACATAGTTCTTAAACTCTGTGCACACATACCTTGTACTGATGCAAAGTCTTTAATGGATCCCATGGAACGGAATGTTTGCCCAGGCCTTGCTTGGACTTCGTTTGCTGCATTTTATGAACTGTCTGGGAGCTCTCGTGTACCCGGCAGAACAACTTTAGAAAAAGAAAAAAGAAATACGGTACAATGATGCCACCCAACGAGAAACATCGAAGTGGACATCACAACTTATTTCATGTTTTAAAAAAGCAAGGGTGAAACGTAATGGAGTTTGAGAACATTTGTTACAAAGGTGAATAGAACTTCTAAAGAGGCATATGTGGAATTTCAAGTTCATGCTTAAAGGTTACCTTTTTCAGCAGGGAACAGATTTGTTGCCTCACAGCTGGAGACTGGCTGTTCAGGTTGTAGCTAATAAAAAACTCAATCAGTTGCATCTCTTCGGCGGAAATAATTTCTGTGCTCCGGTGACTTTCGCAAAGCAAACCTAAAGCATCTATTCGCACCTTTTAAAACAATAAGGAAGTTTTTAACGAAGTTTTTCTCTGTAATAAATATATAAAACTTAAAAAGCACACATGCACAAAACGCTTAGATTTGTACCTGATCGTGTTGATGAACTAAAGCTTGTTTGATACAGGTAATGGATACAAGACCACTGTGCATCATGTCTATAAAATTTAAGTGCCCATGGGCTCTTGCTGTTCTCAGGCATGCCATCAAAGCTCCGAGTGCTCCTCTGGTATTGCAAGATCCTGCACAGAGAAGTTTTTGATGTTCAATGTTTAACTGTGTTTGGTGTTTTAACTTGCTGGAAGCCACCCAGAGTGGCTGGGGTAACCCAGTCAGACGGACGGCATATAAATTAACAACAACAACAACAAATCCTTTGTTTTTATACTGCTACAAAAACAGCAATTTCTCACCACTTCCAGCTCCGCTGCTTAAGAACAACACTCTAAAAATCAAAATCTGTTAGGCATAAGAATATATTTCTAAAGGTATCCTAAACACCACCAGCTTTAAATTCCTTCTCTAAATTCTCAGGATACACATTTTACCTAGCAATCAACCAGTCAGTACAACAATAATTTTTTAAAAAATATTATTGCCCTTCTATAGGAAACCAAAAATTGGGTGAAAAACTAGTTTGTGTATTGTTATTAAAGCTCCCTGAAAAGAAGAAAGGAAAGCTTTACGCAAATACATAGGACAATGTAAGGTGAAATTTATTTTGCTCTATTGCAGAATTATGTGAAGGCATAAAAAGGGGGTCTCTAAGCTATGTTCTTGGCCATCAAGATGGATTCTTGTCACCTGTGCTCTGAGCAATTGGGATCCTAGAATCTCTCCCACCTCTGCTCTGCAGAGAAATACCTGTCAAAACAAGCCAAAGAGGAGAGCAGGATTCCCCACCCACCTGCCCAGTTTAAACACACCTGGAGTACAAGGTATGAAGTCTGATCTTACCAACATTAGATTCAGCTGATGTATGAAGAATTTTAATCATGTAGTTCAAGCTTTCAGGGCTACATTTCAGCAGCTTGGGTAAGTAATAATCTGTTACGTAGGTGGCTTGCTCTGGATTCCCATCACACAAAATTGACAGCAGGGGAGAAACCCACGCCTCATGCCATTTGTCGATCCAGGTGTTCCCTTCTAGCGTGGACTCAAGGTGTCTCTTGTGGTTCACAAACATGGTTTCCAACAAATCGCTTGCGTAAGGTGCAAAAGACTGATCGCTCATGACGCCCAAGATCTGCGCAGGAATTGTCCTGTCCATTGCCAGAATATTTTCAATGCCCACACATTCAACAAGGCAGCCAAGTGACGAGTATTTGCCTTTAACGTGCCATTCTAAACTTAGCAAGTTGTCAATCAATCCCGAGAAGAAAGGGTCCACTTTTACAATGGGTCCTTTTGCTGAGGCCTGGTGAATTCGGAGGATGTTCTTAAATATCAGTTTGGTTTGGTGTCTAACAGCATCGAGAGGATGCTCCCAATGAGCATAGACATAATCTAGCATTTTTCCAATAGTGCCCGAGTTTCCACTGAGGCTGCACTTCAGGTTTTCAGAACTTGACTGAAGAGCATTCAGCGCTGAAGCCGTCCAGATAGCTAAAATTCTGGACAAGGATGCCGCCATAACAGATTCTTTAAGCCTTCAAGAGAGAAGCGGAATATCAGAATAGAGAAAGATTACCGTATTTTAAAAGTGGATTTGTTTTGATCCTCAAATCTTTGCCAATTTTCACAACGTTACAAAGCCCTATGTCAGGGGTGGCCAACTCTCAAGAGACTGCAATCTACTTTCAGAATTAAGAACTGGCAGTGATCCACCCCCGTTTTTTGGGAGTTCAGCTCAAAGTTGTTGAGCTTTTTTGGGGGAGGAGAAAAACCCTTTTTAGGGGTTAAAAAAACTTAGGGGGGACTTCCATGGGGGGGGGGAGTTAAAGGCAAGGGACAAAGGGGTAAAGTCACTCACAAAAAGATCACTATGGATGGAAACAGTAACAGAGAGAAAGCTCCGTCTTCCCTTCCAGAGATTAAACAACAATAGAGGGCAGAGCGAGGCAGGAGTCAGTTTTAGCAACGCTAAGGAAAGGGAGCTAGAAATCAACCGATCTACCAAAACCTCACAGGGATCTACCGGTAGATCGTGATCAACCTGTTGGACATCCCTGCTCTATGCGTACTACTAACATGCTATCCTAGGTCCTATACAGAGTGCATTTCTCATTTAAACGGTTTATTCTCCCGAAAATGGAAATAGTATGAAATCCAAGGAGCAGATTAGGGACAAATCTCTGGTATCTCCTTCAAACCTCCCTCCCACCCATTGTCTGTACTTGCTGAAGGGGAAAGCAGTACCAATATATCCAGCAAACAGCACGAACATATCTTGGCCGTGCTCTCGTCTCACATTCCAGGGGACAAACCCCTGAAGCTGCTTATCTTGGCTACAGGCAGTCAGCAGGCTCCTGGTGGACAAGGTAAACATCAGCTAGAGATCTGTCCGGAACCCTTGCCTCTTTCCTCTGCCTGAGGCAGACCATATTCTTGCATGGTGTGAAGCATCAGAGGGGTTCCTCTGCTTACTCAGGCTGCTTCCCTTCTGCCCTTACTGAGAGACAGTCTCCTCTATTCTCTACTTGTGGGAAGGAAGGAAAGGATGTGGGTTAAGATCCTTGGCAGATACCTCTCCTGCATTCAAGGCAGCTGAGATACTGTACTTTTCCATGTATAAGACAAGGGGTTTTTTACTCAAAAATAATGTTAAAAAACGGGGCTCGTCTTATAACACGGGCAGCGCATTGGGGGACAGGGTGATTGGTTGCAGCCGCAAACTGCAGCTTGTAAGCAGCAATTTGGTGGGTGATTATTGGCTGCGGCAAGGGCTGCTTTGGATTGGCTGCTCCTGCGTTAACTGGGCGGGTGATTGGTTGCTACGTCAAGAGCTGCCTTGGATTGGCTGCCGCTGTGGCAAATGGGCGTTCAATTTCCGGCTGTTGTTTGCGAAAGGACAGACACTTGCCGGCTTCTGCGACGCGAGCGATTCTTAGCACTTGTCATTCGAGTTAGTGATTTCCTGCATCCCTCCCCCCCTCAAAAAAGCTCAACAACTCTAGTAATATAGCCATCTCCTCCCATTTTCTTAAATTTGAGTCCCCCAAGATAGGGGGGGTCTTATACAAGGGGGCATGTTATACACGGAAAAATACAGTAACCATCTGAAAACCACACTGCTGTGGTATGCAGGCTGCTTTCAGTTAGGACAGATGGCAGCACCAAGAGGTCCAATAAATCAATCCCAAGGATAGCTCAGTTGGTTAGAGCGTGGTGCTGATAATGCCAAGGTTGCAGGTTCAATCCTGTATGGTGGCAGCTGCATATTCAGGTTGGATAGATGATCCTCAGGGTCCCTTCCAACTCTATGAATTCTTTTATTTCCCCATGAATCCACATTGTCCAATTGAAGAAGAAGAAGAAAGTCCTTGATCCACAATCAGACCAAGTGAAAGATTTAGGTCAATTCAGCACTTCAGCTAACATATGTTAGGGATTCAACTGCAGCTGTACCACAACACTGGACCTCTTTTCCTATACAGACTTGCCAAAGCCCAGGTCCCCTTCCAAAACACTGCAACGCCTTTCAATTTGGGCTGGCTCGTGGTGGTGATATTTAAGGTTCTGCTAGGATAGCTCAGTCGTTATAGTATGAGACTCTTAATCTCAGGACCGTGGGGCAAAAGATTCCTGCATTGCAAGGGGTTGGACCAGGTGATGGTCCCTTCCATCTCTACAATTCTCTGATATATTTTTATCACAATTTATATTATAATGCAACCTGAGCTCTAGTAATGGGCAAACCCAAGTTGCAGCTAAACAAAACACAATGGTAAAAATGTAGTTTTTACACACAGTGAAAATGTAGCTTTACCGTGTACTCAAGGTCAGCAAAGTCAAGGCAATATCCAAGAGCAGCTTCTCCATACTCCGGTCCATGCTGCCATTCTTCCACTCTAGCATAGCGAGTGCTCCGTGGCAGAGGAAAAGGAGGACCGAGTCAGAAAGCTCCGCAGTGCAAAGACTCCCACAGCTGTCCACAAACCAGTCTGGTAAGTCAGAATGCTTCAGTGAGCCACAAAGCAAGTCGCTGATCTGCAAAAGGCAATACAGTGTTAATTAAACCACAGTGGAGGAGAAAAAAATAAGACTGTGCTTTGCCAGACCCTTAGAAAACTGCAAGGAAGCACAATACTAGCTGCTAACATGTAAATGGGCTTCAGCCTGGATAGCTCAGTTGGTTAGAGCCTGGTGCTGACGATGCCAAGGTTCCAAGTTCGATCCCAAGATGGACAACTGCATATTCCTGCAATGCAGGGGGTTGGACTAGATGATCCTCAGGGTCCCTTCCAACTTTACGATTCTATAATTCTTTGCATGTTTTCCATCATGGCACTATTAAGCACAAGTAGTTATGCCTATCCACCATAAATTATAAATTTAATCTAATCTCTTTGTTCTCTGCTCCCGTGATCAGTGCTAGGCTTGTAAAATACACTTATCCCAAGCTTTCCATTTAGAATAGAAATATCAAATCACTCTAAAAGGGAAACGAGGCAAAAACTCAGCAGCATTTTCTAATACCTTTCTCAAGTTATTTTTTCCTTGGGATTCCCACCACTGAACAATTCAGCAATTCATTATACAGTCGTACCTTGGCTCCCAAACGCCTTGGAAGTCAAACGTTTTGGCTCCCAAACAATCGAAAACCGGAAGTAAGTGTTCCAGTTTTTGAACGTTCTTTTGGAAGCCGAATATCCAATAGGGCTTCCATGGTTTCCGATTGGCTGCAGGAGCTTCCTGCAGCCAATCCGAAGCCACACTTTGGAAGTTGAACGTTTCTGAAGTTGAATGGACTTCCGGAATGGGTTCTGTTCGACTTCTGAGGTACGACTGTACTAGTACCACCACAAATTATCTAGGATTCAGAAAGCACCAGACTCAATAAATGTTCAAAAAATTGGCAGCCTATACAAGTTTAACAAGGGTAAAATAAATAGTGCAATCCTATGCACACTTGATCGGGACGTGGGTGGCGCTGTGGTCTAAACCACAGAGCCTAGGACTTGCTGATCAGAAGGTCAGCGGTTCGAATCCCGGCGATGGGGTGAGCTCCCATTGCTCGGTCCCTGCCACTACCAATCTAGCAGTTCCAAAGAATGTCAAAGTGAAAGATGATAAATAGGTACCACTCCGGCGGGAAGGTAAATGGCATTTCCGTGCACTACTGTGGTCTCACCAGAAGCGGCTTAGTCATGCTGGCCACATGACCAGCTGTCTGTGGACAAACGCCGGCTCCCTCGGCCTGAAAGTGAGATGAGAGCTGCAACCCAGAGTCGTCCGCAACTGGACTTAATGGTCAGGGGTCCCTTTACCTTTACCTTTTATGCACACTTGAGGAAAAAGTCCAACTAATGCCAAGTGGGTCTTTACTTTTGAGAACACATGCATAGATTTCATATCCCACCAAGTGCAACACGACTGATAGTTCTTACTTCTGAGCAGGCACGGTTTGCAATTCTATGCACACTTAACTGGGAGTCTGCCCCACTGAACTCTACGGGAGCTACTTCTAACTAGGAATGTGCAGGACTGCGCTCTAAGGCACATTGAAAAAGGGGTTTTATTTCTGAGTAGACACGTATAGGATTGTACTATGAAATGACTAACAATTCTTCTAATAGGGGATAGATCAAGCACAAAAGATGACATATTGTGAACAACACTGAGACGGCCACTATATTTTTCAGAACAGCTCTCCCTTCCAACTGTTGACTTAACACATTTTGAGTGCCATCCAAAGCTGTCTGCTCACTGACTCGTAAGAAATTTGCCTGCACGATGAATCTTCTGGTTTCTCACCTTCCCTCCCTGCGGAACCCCACACAACCCCAGAATCTTCTCCAGTGCTCCAAAATAATTGGGGGGGGGGCTGCAGGGGGGGGGAGAGAAAGGACAAATCCTGTTGCATGAGAACACACATATGCCACTCATGCTACACTGGATCTCACCTTATGATTAATTACACTTTGAAAATTAAGTAAATTGTGGGGCATTGTTGTTGTTTTTTTACTTTTCCAAAGGAAATGCACTTACCAAACAATGTAGCTTTTCACCTGGTTCAAACATGGTCTTAATAAAGAGAACAACAGCCAGTCCTGCTGTAGTCTGGACAGTCTGTAAGAGGTCTTCTGCAGAAATTTTTTTTGAAATATATTAGTATTACAAAGAAGAAGAAGAGTTTGGATTTGATATCCCACTTTATCACTACCCAAAGGAGTCTCAAAGCGGCTAACATTCTCCTTTCCCTTCCTCCCCCACAACAAACACTCTGTGAGGTGAGTGGGGCTGAGAGACTTCAGAGAAGTGTGACTAGTCCAAGGTCACCCAGCAGCTGCATGTGGAGGAGCAGAGACACGAACCCAGTTCACCAGATTACGAGACTGCCACTTTTAACCACTACACCACACTGGCTCTAGTGTGGACATTTAAATTCTCTTTCATATTTATTGTTTTCTAGAACTGCTAATTATTCTTAATATAGTCCATTTTTATTGTTGCCGGCATCCAACACAGTAACTGTAGCATGTATAGTGCAAAAAAAAAAACAGGGGAGAACGCTCACAGGAATAAGTGCAGTGGAGAACTTCGGGAGCTCACACAAGATATAATGGAAATCTAGAATCTGCATCTTCTTTAACATTTTAGCGCCCACATTACAAGCCTAAACAGCAGGTACTCACAACTAAGCAGGCATCTAGTTTGCTGCTGATGTATTCGCAAGACAACAGCACAACACCTTTTATACAAATATTTTCTATCAACAAATGATAGTGGCAATTCTTACTAGGGATGCTGGCTTTGATACAAGGTAGCCCTTCCCTAAACAGAAGGGTGCCTTGTATTTACATAAGGGGTTGCAATCCAGCACATGCTCCCACCAATTAGGGCTGGGGGCAGAGGACGTCTGCTGATTCTCCTTATTACAGCTTCAGAAAATTGGTCTGCATCCTAGAGCTGAGCTGTATTTCTCCATTAGGGACACGATGCAGATAGCAAAACAAGACAACTCTCTTTCCAAACCCTGCACTGTTAAAATGTAAAAAAATAATACATCAAACCACCAAGAGGTTCCCTCATATTGCTCTTCCTTCAGAACGACTCTTATCTTCTTACTAAAAGGCAATGACCAATATAGTAAGAAGCGTTTAAAAAAACACCCTTAAATATCAGCAATACTTACCATTAATTAAGAAGTGTGAAAAATGGTTCAGTAGTCCACACATACTTTCCCAAATAGGAGAATCTAACGTCTTCCAGAAATTTCCCTGAACGTTTTCCTGAATTTTTTGTATCAACATCATTGAAACTTTAACACCCATCAACAAATCGTGCATCAGCCGAGTTTGAGCAATGCGATTTCCACTGAGCTTTCTTTAAATGTATAAGAAAAATGAATATGAATAGTGGTATTAGTCACTTGAACATGTATTATGGCAGTATCAAATTAATCCATTAACTGTGACACGAGTTTCCATCACAGGCAATGACCAACTTCAACTTCGTTGAAATAATCATGTCTTAATGTGTCATGCAAACCCCACAATCAATGAGTTGACCTTGGAAGGGATTTCCACAGTGTAGGCACCACCAGGGAGAAGGAACTGTTATGATCTCATGCACTGCGCTATCAACAGGGTGGGGACGGGGCGGGGGGGCAAGACATATAACAGGGTCTCAGAAAATGATCAACAAAGAAAAATCAACAAAAAAGAGTACAGTGGGCGCTTGAGTTGCGAACGTGATCCGTGCAGGAGGCACGTTCACAACCCGCAGTGCTGCGTCTGCGCACGCTGCGCTTCAGCGCATGCACAAAGCACAATTTAGCACTTCTGTGCATGCGCGAGCACCAAAACCCAGAAGTAACCCATTCCGGTACTTCCGGGTTTCGGCGTGTCCGTAACCCGAAAACACGCAACCTGAAGCATCTGTAACCCAAGGTATGACTGTATGAGCGGAGAGATTATCAATGCTTCTAATAAGAGTTGGTGTGTGAAACCTGCTCTGTCGCATCCATAGCTGTCACAGAAGCCACACCGCTATCAGTGCCAATTTGGGGCAAGATCCAAGAATCCAAAATTGGTGCTGATAGCAGCAGCACTTTGCTGCCGCCGCTGCTGGAGGTGACAGAGCACCAGGAAGGCTTCCACCATCTGAAGCAGTGGCCTCACCCTGCCTAATGGGATAGGCAAGTTCTGCTTTCTGCACAAGCTCAGAAGTCAGGGAGTTGTTTCTCTCTCTTTCATGTTCTTCATGACTGC